AGTTTTACCGTGTTGTTTCAGTGTGAGGAAAATGGGTGGGAGGGGTTAGTTTAGTAATCTAGAAATACTAGTAGTAAATATAAATATATATTCTACAACTTCCATATGAATTTCTATATTTATGACATAAATTATAAAAAAAATATAATTTTTACAATTTTAAGAGATCATGACCAACTAATTGGTTGAAATTATTATTATTATTACTATTATAGCAACTATTTATGTGATTTTATGGAGTTTTGGTATTAAATAGCCAATTTTAATGAAATATAGCTTAATGAGATAAATAATAATCTTAATATTAATAAATTGCTTGGAGAAAAAAATTGCAATAAAATTCTCGTTAAGTAAGTAATTCTCTTACATTTATAATTACTTAGTATAATATATTATTATTATTATATTATTATTTGATATTGGATAACCGCACCAGGTCAAGCAGACCGGAAAAGTGACCAAACTGCACAGTCATCAGCTCGAACGGAGAAGGAAAAACCCACAGGTCGAAAGAGCTGCAGGTCGAAGAAGACATCAAGGATGTGAGGGGTACCAGCAGGTCGAATGGGGGCCTATGGCCTGGTGGAAATTCGACCTGAAAGAGCACCTTGTCGAAGGATCAACCAGATGGGCATAGCAGCAGAGCTCTCGACATCGAGGATACTCCACCTCAAATTAATTGGTTCAGTCGCACGATTAGACCATCTAATGAAGAAGACTAATGAATGAAAAGAAATATTATGGAGATTAAACCCCCACGTGACATAACAAAATTGGGCAGTTGGCGCAGTCTGGGTAGCTAGGGTAGTACGAACTTGTAGTCTAGGAAAGCTAGGGCAGTACGGGTAGTTTGGTCAACCCACGTGTTCAGCTTGGGCAACTAAGTATCGTCTCCAGGGAGTGAGGTATGCCTTGAATTACATTACATTCTATATTATTCTATACACTGTTTTCTGCACTTCATCTTCTACTAGTGCTCATTTAAGCACTATTATTGTATAATATGCATTAATAAATGTATTTTCTTGACTAAATAACTTTGTATGATGTATTTTTTATACTAAATAATTTTAAGCTTTTTATTTATCGATGAATTATATATTTTATTTTGTAATGTTTTAATATTAAAATGATACATATGAATAAAAATTTAACACACTTAAACAAGAAAATTTTATTCAAATTGAAAGTTTACAACACACGTAAATTATAAAATATACAAATAAATATATATATATAAATCAATTTATTTAAAATAAAAATAAATAAAAAATAATATATTTGATGTAGAATAAAATATAGAGCTAAGCTAAAGGCTGAAGACAAATTTGATTTTTGTTATCAAAACTCTACTCTATATTCTACAGTAGAGTTAACTCCGAGTAGAGATAAGGGTGAGAATTGAGATGGTCTCATGGTTACTTTTTTAACTCTCAACCCGCACATCACAAACTTCACTCGCTGAACACACTGTTACAAATCACAGCAGCCGATCGAGAAAGGAAAACGATAAAGAAATCTTGCCCAATTAGAGCAATGGGCATCGACAAGGAGTTGCTGAGGCCCGGCACCGGCCCTAAACCTGTCCCCGGCCAAAACGTCACCGTTCACTGCACCGGATTCGGAAAAAATGGCGATCTTACCAAAACATTCTGGAGGTGAAGTTTTCATATCTTTTCCCCTTTTTTCTTCGTCTTTTGTTTCTGATATTCAGTCAATACGAGAATAGTTAAATCCTTTCGTATGAGTGTCTGAGTAGAAGTTGTGGATGTTGAATTTGGGTAACAGCACCAAAGATCAAGGACAAAAGCCTTTCACTTTCCAAATCGGCCAGGGCAAAGTTATCAAAGGTACTTCTACTTCTGGTGAAATAGAAATTTGTTTGTCTTTCGTTTTTAGATAAATGTAAAGTAATATGAATAGGTGATTATGTGAATGTGAGGCGTGAGATGATTATAAATCGTGGGTTTATGATGGCGATTGGCGAATACTGAAATTAATAGCTTGTGTTAGTCTGTTTGATACAAAATCAAATATTTGGGGTTTGCTGAATGAGTGATTTGTGGACTCATTGTAATTTATTTGCATATTGTTTAGTTGGCTGAATGTATGTGTTGTTGATAGCCAGGATGTGAGGTGAGAATCTGTTTTAGTTGTAGATTTCTTTGTCCGATGTAAACTATGACTCAATTGGGGTTAGGATTATGCTGGTAAGCGATGTTTTAATCGTGCTAGGTTTGTTACAAGGGTTTGTTCAATCTGACATTCTTACCTTTCTTGGAATTACGAGATCTATTTCAACTTCGATCATCATAAGACATATTTGGGATCCTTGAGTGATTTGCTTTAATTTTGTTTAAACTTGATATTCTATCTGATTACTCGAGAAAACATCACTCCATTTGGGATCCTTGAGTGATTTTCTGTAATTTTGTTTAAACTTTGATATTCTATCTAATTACTCGAGATTTTTGAGATACCAGGGCATGTCAAGACCATATATTTGATGTTGCTTTATGCAAAAATAGTTTGTTCGTTAACATTTATACACTGTTGCAGGATGGGATGAGGGAGTGTTAGGGATGCAAGTGGGAGAAGTTGCTCGTCTTCGGGTAATATGCAATCTTGTACTATGTATTTACTTGGCTGAATATCTTAGTGCTTCAAATAATCAACGACAAATGAATATACGGACCCAGTTAATGCCGTTTTTATCTTCCTGTTCACACGCTTGGAAACAAAATGTAGTTGTAGCTTTAAGCTTAGCAAAGTGGCTTTTAATTATGTTTTCAAGTGTCAAACTTTGGCTTCCGATTCTACATAATACGGGCTTAATAAATTTATGTGTCTTTGACTATTTTTAATGCTTGCAAACTAAGAACTTTTCTTTTAACAACTTAACTACAAGAATACCATTCACCTTCTACTTACAAACACTCGCCGTATGCAATTTTTTCTTGACGGGTGAGTTATGTGGCCCTAAATAATGTGGATGGGGAATTTTTGCTGAGTTGCGTTTTGAAATGTGTGCAGTGCTCTCCGGACTATGCTTATGGCCCAAGTGGCTTCGCGGCTTGGGGCATTCAGCCAAACTCAGTTCTGATTTTCGAGATTGAAGTTCTGAGTGCTGAGTAAATTAACCAGGTTGTTAAACTTTGTGTTCCTTTTGCTTGGGCTTCAAGTGGTGCTTTTTTATGTGAACTTTGTGTTGTGGATGTTTTTGAACTGGTTTCTTTGTCTAAGACCTGAAATATTACCTTATCAATAAAGAGAAGGGGAAAGAGTGTGGCAAATAATGAAAAATTAAAGGCACCATTCGATTGATATCTGTTCTGTTATATGGATGGTTTATGATAATAAGTTGATTAAAATGTCCTAAACTTATGATTACATGTTTGAATTGAAAGCCATAATAAGTCTTGTTAATGATGAATTGAAAGCCATAATAAGTCTTATTAATGTGTGAGGAATGTGTCCCATTGTTTGTAGGGTGGACTTATGAGAAATAGAAAACCTCTCCAGTTTTAATTTTTTTGTAATCAATTCTTGATTTCACAAACTCCGAGCTGTGAATTGGGATACTTATTTTCAAGCCCAAGCATCATTTGGGCTTGTGTAATAATATGCCTTGGTAAAATATGAAATTGTGACAAAATAAATTAGTTTACGCAATTATGAATGTCCTTTATAGGTTGTCTGCATTAATGAAATCGTAGTTAAACCGATAATTGTGCTGAGTAGGTATTTCTTAATCTCAGCTCGAATTAGGCTAATGGTAAGTAAGACTGGCAGGATTAAAGACTCGAGTTTCATTATTATTCTTTTTTCGCGTGCGATAATTGCTTTTTAAATTATGCGAGTAGTCATATACTGATGACTCTAATTTATTTAGTTGGAATATTATTTCATTATTTGGTTTATACAAATGTTAATTGCGTTAAGATGACTAACAACACTATAATGATCAATCAAAGGATAAGTGAGCAAATTAAACAACAATTGCATAAAGTGCGACTAGAGTGAGGTGTGTGACTCTTTTAACATATGCACACAACTTTCACACTTAATATTTTAAACATAATATATATAAAAATGTTATATTTTATATTATCTAACCCCTACCCGATTTTACCTCGAGATGTATATTTTTTAGCGCACTATTATTTACAATAGAGTAGTTTCACAAGTGTTTTAAGGATGTCCATCTCCATAACCAGGAATAGAAAGTATACTAATTGATATTTTTATTTTACATAACATTTGCATTTTAATATGATTTCGGCGTGGCTCATGTAATTTATATTAATACTTAAAATTGTTTCATGATTTGATTTCTTTATACATGCATCTAGCTAGATTATTCGAGTCAAGTATGTTGGAGTTTGGATCGTTACAAACTCATTTGATAAATAAACGTAAACGTAAGCTCGAGTTTGACTTGTCAAAACTCTAATCGAGTCGATTGGAAACACATTTAAACTCGACTTGTTTAATAAAAAAACTCAATAAGTTATTTAAGTATATCATAATTAAATATATAAGTGAGTCAAGTTCGAGCTTTCAATACTCAAACTAAAGTATGCCTATCATATCTTAACTCACGCTCACGTCCATTGAATGGTTGATTACTTTTGTATTTTCCGCGAATTTTATCACATCATTAGTCAAAATTAAACAAACAAAATGTCCATCAATTGCATGCTTGCCTATAATGAAACTATGCATTTAAAGAGTTCGTGAACAGTTGGACACGATGTTGTGTGTTCTTGTAAGATTTTTTTAATCGAATAAACTAAGCAAGTGTATTATGAACAGTATTAGATATCAATCTATATCACAAGTGTCGGTTGTGCTGAGCATGTGTTGTCTTTACCAATATTCTTATTTCTTTCTTCGTTTCTTTTTATTTAAATTTGTCAAGATTAAATCCAGTTTTATAACTTATCAAATGAAAAATTGTGCCAAAAATAATAAACAAGTTAACAAACCACAGCATGCGAGATAAACTTGATGATAATTGAGTAATTTGATTTTACCATCCACATGTTGATATAAGAACGGAACGAAGAAAAAAGTAAGTTTGTTTCATAGTCGAGTTCAAAACATAAAACTAGTATTTTTGATAATTAATTGACAACCAATGAATAGTCAAGCTTCATAATTAGTATCTATAATTTAATTTCTCATATTTATATATTTATATAATAATAAATATTATGATATTCTTCATAGAAATAATAAAAAAAATAGCTAAATTGTTTATTTTTCGTTTATAAAATTCAATATATGAGATAAAGCATTTCAAACAAATAAAACCCGAGTTCATCAAATACTCAAATATGCTTGCTAGCTGAGAATATATAAAAAAAAAATGTTCAAATATAATAACATTTGTGCTCAATATTACTACCTAGATAAAACGTGACA